CTCAGCTCTGGAGCTACACAGGAAAGAAAAGGGATTTTAGTTTTTATTTTAATCAAGAATTTTGCTGTTGCTCAAGGACTTTGGTTTATTACAGGATTGCTGCTTCAGTGAAATGTACCCAATTCTCTGGGAAGGGCTGGCTTTGATGACTACTCAGATTTGAAGGAATTCTGGAAGAAATTATTGAACCAGGACTTTTCAACATTCTCATAAAGAAATATGTGTTTCTCATTTGAAGGTGACTTTCTAATTTGGAATTGGAATAGTATTTTCTTTAGATAGGAAATAGTCCAATTCTGAAATAGCAATGTTATATATCTCTATTAACCTGATATCATTATGGAATGTATAATTTACAGTTATTATGGCAAAAGGAAAATATTTGAGATAATTCCTTTTAAAACAAAAATCTGTTGAGAGAAGTGATTCAGAAATTTCAAGAAGCCTTGAATGTAAGAAAATCTTTTTCCCTTCTCTTTCAAGTACCATTTGCTTGAATGCTATTTAATGTTGGTTTTACATTTGGCTGAATTTCCTCTGTTTTAAAGACTTTTAATTTGCATTAAAAAAAAAAAAAGCTTGGAAATCCATGTGGTGGCCACTGAGGACTTGCACTATGGAAAAATGTTGCTAGGAGCTGGAGATCCAAGAAATCAAACACAAGAAAACTGCTCCTGGAAGTCCAGGAATAGGAAGAATGAGGAGATCATGCTGGGGCCTGGACATTTGGTGTCAAGGGATGTGGAATATGGATATCAGGGTTTAGGGACACTGGAGCAGAGAGGGCAGCCACCAGTGATTAGAAGGATAATTGTACCAGGACAGAGAGAAATAAAAACAAGAAGGAAGGGGAGTTTATTGCTAGCAGTTTGTGTTGGTGCTGTATTTCTAAGGAGACCATGAGTATGGGCTAACTCAGCATGAGATCAAACAGCAGTGCCTGCTTTAATGCTTTTTTGCCCCCCCTAAAGACTGCTTATTAGCAGTTTATTTAAAATAATGAAATCTGAGTTGTCAGTTTATTCAGGCTAAATTTTAACATGGATTTCTGTGCAAAGGCAGAATCACTTCTGAGCTAAAATCATGTATGAACTCTGCAACCCTTTGGCTTCTCTTTGTCAGCTTTCCCAGATAAAAATGGGTTTGCTTTTAGGAATGACCTCTCTCATTTTCAGGTACTTTGTGATCTGTTGCCAGGCCATTGGTTCACTAGTGTGGGTTTCCTGACAATGGTTAGGAAGCAAAGGACAGACCTTTAAAGAAAAGACACCAATGCACACACCAGTTACCCACACTGCAGCTTTTAGGAAGGTTTTTGCACCAAGCCTGTTTTGACTTATGTAGATTTTTGCTCTAGATTTTAGTCAGAAACTGAACTCAGTAGACTTGTCTATCCTGAACTGTACATCTGAAGGAACAGACTCAGAATTTTAGTCTGCAGCTGATACTTGTGGTTGTGTCCACCATATCTCAAGACCAAATTGCAGTTCATATGTGAACACCCTCTTAGCATGCAGAGATTTAGCATGAGCTTTTTTGCAATAACCCCTCAATGCTTGGTTTAACATGTTATTTTTAAACTTGGAAACAAAACCATCCAAGTTGCATATTCACAGACATAAAATTGAGGCATTTCATACATGCAACTGTATTTTCAGAAGTGTTTGTGCATTTACCCCCTGTTTTGGGAGGGTTCTGTGCAGATGGTGGGGTCTGCAGTGCACAGCCCCTCTGGGAACATCCAAACTGCCCCCGAGCTCGTGGGCTGGGGGCTTTTGGTGTGTGCAGTTACCCAAAGGGATCATTCTGCTCCTGAACATGTGTATTGTATAAATATTGTCCTTTCTGGTTCAGCAGTGTGTTATTGTCACTCCTTTCTGTACAGCCACGGAGCTGCCCCTGCTCTCCTGGTCCGGCCGGGGTACCTGGCACTGGAAGGCAGCAGCTGGTGAGCTCTGCAACCATCCCAGAGCAGCAGCAGACAGGGAGTGCAGAGGGGCTGCAGAGGGGCTGCTGTCTTCTGCCAAGTGCAGAACTAAGCAGCTGCTTTGCATTTTCACAGGAACAACAATGCTCTGTTAACTGCCTCGCTGCCGAGGGGCAGGGCTGTGGGACAGGGGGGGTGCTGGCCCGGGGGTTACTCAGCGTCAAAAGACTGAGGGATTCTCCTTTTGTTCCAAGGAATGCCTGCCAGCATCCAGGACAAACCCTCCTGTCACAGATGGAATGATTGTAGGACAGTGTTCAAACAACTTTATCTTCTCTTTATTGCATTAAGTGTGCCCATATGTGCACGAACCTTCCCTTAAAAGAACATTCTTAAGATTGCAAATGCTCAAAAGCTGGGAAATGCCAGTGGAAAATATGTTCTCTGATCATCCTTAATTGTATAAAATAAAACTTATAATAGGATGAGGTGGAAGAGACCTTAAGATGTTATCTAGTTCTCTGTGATTCAAGGCAGGATTAGCTCAGTCATCCAACAGTTGTTAAAGGTGTTCTTTAATGTCTCAAGTTCTCCTGATTTTTTCAAAAGAACTGTGGCTTTTTGGGGTCCTTGGGAGGTTGCATTTAAACCTGTCCAGAACTGAAGCTCTGCATCTTATTATGGAGATGGGAAGGTGATTGAGGAAACTACTGTTAATTAAAAGAAAAGTTAGATTCCTCTATTTTCATTAAGAGTATCGGAAGTGAGACTGAGAAGAGAACATTTTACTCTTCAAAGGAAATACAGCCCGGAGAAAGTGATAAGAATTACTAGGGCAGAAGTTGAACCCTCTGTAGTGTATTTACATCCAGTGTTGTTCCTACTTTACTGGTGCTGTGGTAAGGGTAATTAGGAAGGGCTAATCAAGAGTCTTAAGGTGTTGTGTCTGATGTGTTCTCATGTACAAATAAAAGAGATAGTGTAGGGGAGGTGCAGTTGAATCTCAAAAAGGGGTTCTGGAGGAAGTGGAAAAGCAAATATTCGTGCTCCAGGCTCCACTATAAAAGGAACAAAGTTCCTGAGACTGAGAAGTGCCAGAAACCAGCCCAGGGGGAAGGTGCTGGAGAGGCAGCACGTGTGGCCTGTGGGGATGGAAGGAGCTCTGACCTACTGGCAACTCTGCTCCTGAGCAGCTGGGAAAGCTGGGACAGGAGTCCCTGGTGGGGCCCAGACTGGAGCCCTGGGCAGTGGGAGCTCAGGGCTATGGGCAGTGGGAGCTCAGGGCTATGGGCAGTGCCCTTGGGACATTCAGGAGGACATGAGATGGGTCTGACTGGGCTGTGAAATGTGGCGTGGGAGCTCAGGGTGTCTGTGGGGTTGGGTGGGAGCTCAGGATGTCTGTGGGGTTGGGTGGAAGACTGAAATGGGAAGGAAACATTTGCTTAAACTATGATGTGAGAAATGGGCCAGCCCTCACCCCCTGGGCATGCAGCAGGGAATCAGAAACACGGGGTGCAGGTCGAGGATTTGCATTTCTCTCCCAACTGTTGCCATGTGCACTCTGCAGTGTAAGGCAAGACCTGCTGAATTCTAGACAAAGACAAGGCAATTAGAGGATGATCCAACTGCAGTGCTGAAGGCCTGTGCTTTGTCTTCTGTTTATTCATAACCTTCTGTTTAAAGTAATCTTGGAGTTTAACTTACTGAACAAACCTTTCTTATTCATAAGTCTTCCTGTCTTGAAGGAGGGAGGGGGAGTGAAGAAAGGTGAGAATGACAAACAGTGATCTTTTTTGGGGAAGACAGTGACTCTTTTTGCAGAAATAGCAGCTTCTTGATGAATATGGACCCAGGAATATGGACCCAGAAATATGTTCAGGGAAGCTGGGGGATGGAGAGCAATTACAGCCAAGTCTGGGAAACAGGACCATCCATGAGAATAAAGGGAGCTGGTGGAGAAGTTCTGAGTGGACCAAAGCCCCATCCCATCAGTGGTGTGTGTGGCTGCAGCTGAAGGCACTGCCAGGAGCAGCTGGAGGTCCCAGCCACGGGCCCAGGCTCCTCTGCATTGGTCAGGCTGCAGAGCACTCAGTGAGTAAACCTGCAAACTGCAGGAGCTGGGAAGGGGCTTCTCCTGGGACTTCACTGAGGACTTCCCTGCCCTTTGCTTCAGATTAAGCCCAAACTGAGCATTGGCAGCCCAAGGGAGCCAGCACGGGTTTGGGGGAACTTAAACAATTGCCTTTGAAGCTTTGGCGAATCTTCAGATGTTTGTATGTTAGAACTTGGCCCTCAAATTAACTGGCCAAACATCCCTCACAGAAGGGAGGATTTATCACATCCAGGTCCTGACATAAATATGGTTTAGAGCTTGTATTTGCAAAATCCGGTGGGTGGATGGACTGGCTTTTGAGACAGAGTTTTGGATACTCAGTGCAAACAAATCTCAGTTATGTATCACTAACTTATTTTGTGATATGTCTTCAGGAAAAAGAGAGGGGGAAGTGATACTTGAAACACACATTTTTTAAAACAAATTTCATTTTTAAGAAAACCCAGATAAATTATGAGTCAGTTCTCCTTCAGCCATTATTTACTAGACATTTTTAGCGAATATCTATTTATTTATTGTCCTCTGAGACCACTAGAGAGGAAGGAAAATGCAGTTAGTCCATCACTTCACTGGATAAAGAGGGATGCAAACTCTTAATAAAGTATCGATGGCACCCCAAGGGGACAAAAAGAGATTTGCATCCCAGTGGCCCAGCTGCCAGAGCACATGAGTTACTGCAGCAGCAGCCAGGTCCTGTCAGAGACAGGAGCATGAGGAGAGAAGAGGGAGCAAAACATGATTTGTACTGGCATGCAGTGAACAAGCTAAGCTGTGTAAAAATGAATACATGAAATTAGAAGGATTAATGGGACAAGTTAGTGCAGGGTAGCAGGGAAAGTCCCCTGTCTAGGCACTTCTGCCAGGATCCACCCAGACAGGTTGTTTTTTTTTAAACCTGCTTTCTTTTGTAAGTGAAATTTCATCTGGAGGGCACCTCATGAACAGGATTCAATTCCTCCCTCCCAGCTCCACCTGGATAAGCCCTTTGAGCTTTTATATTTTTCTTTTATTAAGAAAATCATGGTGGTTTTCACAAAAGTCTGAGATGTTGGCTTGATATAAGGAAGGCTAATGGCATGTTAGCCATCAGAAATCATCCAGTGAGTTCATTTGCATCGAATGCTCCTCTTAACCTCATGTTGTAAATCACTTTTAAATAGCTGTGCTGCTTCACCCCAGGGCTGGCTGCAGTTCAGGACTGAGCAGAAGAGTTTCTGCTTGTGCTGCGAAGGCCTTTGAAATCACTTGTGATAAAACTGCATAGATGTAAGGTTTTTACTATTTAAATCACAAAGCAGGGCCTAAATATTTCTCCACAATAACAGTTTGCTAAGGAGCACAGTCTGTTCCTTTCAAGCCAGTCCACTCCCACCTCTGAAGTTAAACAAAGCTCTGGGTGCTATATATGCAGCATTTGTCCCATTAGGTGGTTGTTTTTTGGGGTTTTTTTTAGTACTATACCTGGTTTTGATCTTGCAAAAGGCAATTACAACACTTGCAAGATGACAGTCATTGCACACAACAGAAGGCTGACTAATTGAGGGAAAGGGATGATATTTGGGAGGGAAAAACAAAGCTGTGACATGTAAAATTACATATAAAGTGAGCTTTTTTTTTTTCCCCTTATAAAATTCTCAACAAGTGAACTCCAGATGTCAGCATTTAAACACTGTCAGGTATTTCTTGTACTAGTGTAGCATCTGCAGCCCCACAGGGAAATCACAGGCATTGCACACTCCTGACCTGGGGGGCACAGCGGGCACTGAAGAGGGAGACGAGTCAGAAAAAGTGAAGAGCAGGAAATATTGGCACTATTTTGGAGCAGGTTCTTTCTCCATTTAAATATAACTTCAGCAAGTTGCAGTTAACCTCAGCTGATCAGAATTTAAGATGATGTAGAGGTTGGTGCCAGGGAAAAAGATAAAACAAAAATTCAAGAGGCCAGAATAAACCTTGAAGTCTATAGGTGCAGTGACAATCCACTCGTGTCCTACTGAGGTAGAAACCTTCCTAGGTGGACATCAGAACAAGCCCAGTTATGTTCAGTGTCAGCTGCTGTCACTGCTGTTTGGGGACTGGAGCTCCATGGGCAGGTCTGCACATCCATCCTGCTCCTTCTTGCAGGAGGAACATCGTTGTCCTGCAGGTCACATCTTCAGTCACATCAGCCACGTTCACTCCTCAGTGAGCTGTTGCTGACTGTAGCTGTAATGTTTTGGGTTACATCACCTTGGGAGGGGAAGGAGCTTCTCTGCTGGTCTGGGGGAGAGTTGGGAAGAGGCCTGTGAAGGTGGTGCTGCTGTGCTGGCTCTGACAGGCATGTGGGATCTTTTAAAGGATTTTTTTAATCTGTTTTTTTGGCTTACCATTTTTCTTGATCTAGAAGAAAACTCAGGTCAGATTTGGAGGTCTTACTCCTTCTTCTTATGTCTTCAAAAAGAGAATGGTTTGTACCTGCTGAAGGGAGATTGCCTGAAAGAGATTTATTGAGCAACTTGAGGATTTGTAAGCCTTATATTCCTACAGTCCTGTCTCAGGAGATACTAGCATGCAACCTTGGATAGATCCACTGGGAATGTCAGC